ACGTGCAAAAATTACAAGCATTCCTATACACCAGTAATAGACTTCAAGAGAGCCAAATCAAGAACGAACTGCCATTCACAATTGCTACAAAGAGAATAAAGTACCTAGGAATACAACTAACAAGGAACGTAAAGGACCTCTTCAAGGAGAACTACAAGCCATTGCTCAACGAAATAAGAGAGGATACAAACAGATGGAGAAACATTCCATGTTCATGGTTAGGAAGAATCAACATCGTGAAAATGGCCATACTGCCCAAAGTAATTTACAGATTCAATGCTATTCCCATCAAGCTACCAATGACCTTCTTCACAGAACTGGAAAAAAAACACCTTAAATTTCATATGGAACCAAAAGAGAGCCCGCATAGCCAAGTCAATTCTAAGCAAAAAGAACAAAGCAGGAGGCATCACACTACCAGACTTCAAACTATACTACAAGGCTACAGTAATCAAAACAGCATGGTACTGGTACCAAAACAGAGATATAGACCAATGGAACAGAACAGAGGCCTCAGAGGAAATACAACATACCCACAACCATCTGATCTTCGACAAACCTGACAAAAACAAGCAATGGGGAAAGGACTCCCTGTTTAATAAATGGTGTTGGGAAAACTGGCTAGCCATGTGCAGAAAGCAGAAACAGGACCCCTTCCTGACACCTTACACCAAAATTAACTCCAGATGGATTAAAGACTTAAACATCAGACCTAATACCATAAAAACCTTAGAAGAAAATCTAGGCAAAACCATTCAGGACATAGGTGTAGGCAAGGACTTCATGACCAAAACGCCAAAAGCAATGGCAACAAAAGCCAAAATAGACAAATGGGACCTAATCAAACTCCACAGCTTCTGCACGGCAAAAGAAACAGTCAGTAGAGTGAATCGGCAACCAACAGAATGGGAAAAAATTTTTGCAGTCTACCCATCTGACAAGGGGCTGATATCCAGAATTTACAAAGAACTAAAGCAGATCTACAAGAAAAAAACAAACAAGCCCATTCAAAAATGGGCGAAGGATATGAACAGATACTTTACAAAAGAAGACATACAGGAGGCCAACAAACATATGAAAAAATGCTCATCATCACTGGTCATCAGAGAAATGCAAATCAAAACCACATTGAGATACCATCTCACACCAGTTAGAATGGCGATCATTAAAAAATCGGGAAACAACAGATGCTGGAGAGGATGTGGAGAAACAGGAACACTTTTACACTGTTGGTGGGAATGTAAATTAATTCAACCATTGTGGAAGACAGTGTGGCGATTCCTCAAGGACCTAAAAATAGAAATCCCATTTGACCCAGCAATCCCATTACTGGGTATATATCCAAAGGATTATAAATCATTCTGCTACAAGGACACATGCACACAAATGTTCATTGCAGCACTGTTTACAATAGCAAAGACCTGGAACCAACCCAAATGCCCAACGATGATAGACTGGATAGGGAAAATGTGGTACATATACACCATGGAATATTATGCAGCCATCAAAAACGATGAGTTCACGTCCTTTGTAGGGACATGGATGAACCTGGAAACCATCATTCTCAGCAAACTGACACAAGAGCAGAAAATCAAACACCGTATATTCTCGCTCATAGGCGGGTGTTGAACAATGAGAACACATGGACATAGGGAGGGGAGCACTACACACTGGGGTCCGTTGGGGGGAAATTGGGGAGGGGCGGCGGGGTGGGGAGGTGGGAAGAGATAGCATGGGGAGAAATGACAGATACAGGTGAGGGGACGGAAGGCAGCAAAGCACACTGCTATGTGTGTACCTATGCAACAATCTTGCATGTTCATCCCATGTACCCCAAAACCTAAAATGCAATAAAAAAAAAAAAAAAGAGCTGTGATATGAAAAGTGTATCTCTGGAAGCGAAGTCCAATAATTAATTTTAGGAAAAATAAGAATGAGGGCAAGAAATGATCCTACGGCTTTAGAAATACAATAAAAATGTAAAGCTCTAGCAAGGAGAGAAAAATCACAGCATGAAGACTTGGTGAAATGCAACCAAGCTGTTATTCCTAATGTTCCTGGGCCTCAGTTTAATTCAAATGAAGACGCTGGACTCAATCAGTGGCTCTCATGCTCTCTTAAGGTGCATGAGAGTCACCTGCAAGTCTTGTTCAAACACAGATAGCTGGATCCCAGAGATTCAGTAGGTTTGGACTGGGGCCTGAGAATTTTGACTTCTTTGTTTTTGAGACAGTCTTACTCTCTCACTCAAGCTGGAGTGCATGATCACTGCTCACAGCAGCCTCTATCTCCTGGGCTCAAGTGATCCTTCTGCTTCAGCTTCCTAAGTAGCTGGGACCACAGTCACATGCCACCATGCCTAGCTGATTTTTAAACTATTTTTGTAGAGACGGGATCCCACTATGTTGCCCAGCTGAGAGTTCAGATTTCTAATAAGCTCCCAGGTGCTGCTGCTGCTGCTGGTGGAGCATACCAAGAACCAGAAAAAAAGCAAGCTTGTCGCCACAGGACCCTGGGGTTTTTCTTTTTCCTCCTGCACAGCTTGGAAATGGTGTCTGTGGGGAGCCCTAAAATTCAGGAAGAAGACTGAGAGACTCCAGAGCTCTGCCTCTGGACACACCTCACCTTACTGGTCTGCATTCAAGCCACAAGGGATGGCAAGGAGTCAAGTGACCATAGTGGCTTGGTTCCCCTTGAATCAACTTTCTGCTAAAGTGTTGACCTAGGTCTATTTCTGAATTCAATCTGGGAGCCACTGTCTGACCTCCCAAGTATTTGGTGACCAATGAATGAATAGCTCCAATGTCACGCATCATCAGAGAGAGCTCTCTGGAAGAAACAATAAGGCCAAAACTTACTTGCTCCAAATTGACAACCAGTCCGACTGAAGTTCTTTCTCACTTCAGTGAACGTTTATTTTTCCCCACCCACTGGCCAGAGGTGACAGACACCTTCTTATGACATTTCTCAGAATCGGGGAGAGGTAAGTAGCAGACTCTGGGGTTTTCCACCATGGCAGTGGTCAGGAAGAGTGGAGGACAGCCTCATGGCACCAGTTCCTGGACCTAGAGATCTCTGACTGTATCAAAAAGACACTTGACTCCTATCACCTCACATAAAACAATGACTCAGTGAAGTAACTATATACTACTTGAATTGTGACTATGTCTTCTGTCATCTACCTTGTAATGTGTGTTATTTCTAGTTGCCTCAATTGGACTATGAAATCTGAAGGCAGGGATGAGTCCCATCTAATATAGCTTTGAATGTCCAAAATGACAACAGTACAGTGACTGGCACACAGAAGGTATTAAAAAAATATTGGCCGGGCGCAGTGGCTCATGCCTGTTATCCCAGCACTTTGGGAGGCTGAGGCGGGCAGATCACTACTAAAAATACCAAAAAAAAAAAAAATTAGCCGGGCATGGTGGCACGCGCCTATAGTCCCAGCTACTTGGGAGGCTGAGCAAGAATCGCTTGAACCCAGGAGGCAGAGGTTGCGGTGAGCCGAGATTGCACCACTGCACTCCAGCCTGGTGACCTAGCAAGACTCCGTCTCAAAAAAAAAAAAAAAAAAAAAAAAAAACAACCAGCCAACCCGAGGCCAGGTGTGGTGGCTCATGCTTGTAACCTCAGCACTTTGGGTGGCCAAGGCAGGTGGATCACCTGAGGTCAGGAGTTCAAGACCAGCCTGGCCAACATGGCAAAACCCCATTTCTACTAAAATTACAAAAATTAGCCAGGCGTGGTAGCACACATCTGTAGTCCCTGCTACTTGGGAGGCCAGGGCAGGAGAATCGCTTGAACTTGGGAGGTGGAGGTTGCAGTGAGCTGAGATTGTGCCACTGCACTCTGGCCTGGGTGACACAGTGAGGTTCTATATTAAAAAACAAACAACAAAAAAAGAAAAGCCAGGTGCAGTGGTTCATGCCTGTAATCCCAGCACTTTGGGAGGCTGAGGCAGGTGAATCACCTGAGGTCAGGAGTTCAAGACCAGCCTGGTAAACATGGTGAGACCCCATCTCTTCTAAAAATACAAAAATTAGTTGGGTGTGGTGGCAGGTGCCTGTAATCCCAGCTATTCGGGAGGCTGAGGCAGGAGAATCACTTGAACCCAGGAGGTAGCGGTTGCAGTGAGCCGGGATTGTGCCACTGCATTCTAGCTTGGGCAACAAGAGCAAAACACCTCTCCAAAATAAATAAACAAATAAAAATAGTAAATAAATAAAAATTGTTGGCTGAATGTTTACTGGTTTGTTTGCTTACTAAACTAGGTTCTGATTTCTATTAGATGAAGAGAAGTTGACTACAGTTGACTAGAAAGAGAAAAACAACAGGAACTGCAGGAGAACAGCTCAGCAGGCCATGCCCAGCCATGGGCAGGAGGTTACCAAGCCCAAAACTTCCCAAGGGAAAGAGATGTCATGTGAGCAGACTGTCTTCAGATCCTGTCAGGGAAGCCCTACGCTGTCAGAGACTTCCTGCCCTCTGGCAATACAAAACTGCAGTTTGGCAGGAAGGGTGTGTGATCACTATAGTCAAGGGCTGACAAAACATGGGAAATGGTAGCCTTGCTACACAGCCTCTCCTTCCTGTGGTGCTGTGTGCCCCAGAAATGGAAGAACAAACACACCAGTCACAGCCAATTCCCCAGTGCCCAGGGCTCTGACCTCTAACTTCACAGAGGCAAACTTTACAGCCTGAGATGCAACCATCTCTAGCCCCTTGATATCTGTCTCTTAGAGTATTTCCTTAATTTCTGTTCAGAAATTTATGAATGGGAGGTAGGTTAGGCTATATCTTTTTTCTCCTATAGTTGTAAGAACCCCCAACATGCTCTCCCCAAGCACTAGCTTCAGGGATAAGTGATGTCCCAGAGTTCTCCTCCCTACAGACGAGAGCCTAGGAAGGGGTATGCAGGCTCAGAGGAGAGGACTGACCCTCAGGGGACTGCCCAGAGGGAGTCATGATCTGCCCCTACTGCAGCCTGCTGGGCATACCTAGAGCCTTCACGGATATCTGCCGGGTAAGTGGAGGGGGAATGCTGATGCACACCAGATCCACATCTTGATGCAGCAAGACGTCATCGGTCCGGCTGGTGTAGAAGGCAACGTTCATCTCCTCAGCAAGCTGTTTCGCCTCCTCCTCGGTCTTCCCCCACAGGGCCTCAACAGTGAACCCTTCAGCCCTCAGCAGCGGGACAAGAACTCGGGCGGAGCTGCCAGTCCCAAATACACCCACTCCTGGCAGCATCTTCATCCCAGCCTCTCTCGTCACCTACTCATCTCCTCACAAGAGCCTCCAGCATGGATACGACCTTCCAAACGTCCTGGTCAAACATGGCTCCTAGAACAACAAGCATTACACTGGTTATTACCAGAGAGGATACCCAGCTTAGTCTTTTTTTTTTTTTTTTTTGAGATGGAGTCTCACTCTTGTTCCCCCAGGCTGGAGTGCAGTGGCGTGATCTCGGTTCACTACAATCTCTACCTTCTGGGTTCAAATGATTCTCCTGCCTCAGCCTCCCAAGTAGCTGGGACTACAGGCACGTGCCACCACGCCCAGCTAATTTTTGTATTTTCAGTAGAGACAGGGTTTTACCATGTTGGCTAGGATGGTCTTGATCTCTTTACCTCGTGATCTGCCCGCCTTGGCCTCCCAAAGTGCTGGGATTACAGGTGTGAGCCACTGCACCCAGCCCGAAGCAAATTTCTTTTCTTTCTTTTTTTTTTTTTAAAAAGATGGGGTTTCACCATGATGGCCAGGCTGGTCTTGAACTCCTGACTTCAGGTGATCCACCGACCTTGGCCTCCCAAAGTGCTAGGATTATAGGCATGAGCCACCGCACTAATTTCAAATAAGGAAGCAACAAGTCTCTTCCAGAAAAGCACAAATGACATACTGCTCGAGGCCAGGCATGGTGGCTCATGCCTGCAACCCCAGCTCTTTAGGAGGCCAAGGTGGGAAGATAACTTGAGGCCAGGAGTTTGAGAGTAGTCTGAGGAACATGATGAGATGCCACCTCTATACAATAAATAAATAAATAAATAAATAGCCAGATGTGGTGGCCTGCACTTGTAGTCCTAGCTACCTGGGAGACTGAGGCGAAAGGATTACTTGAGCCCAGGAGTTCACAATTGTAGAGAGCTATGATTGCGCTACTGCACTCCAGCCTGGGCAATAGAGCAAGACCTTGTCTCAAAAGAAAAAAGAAATACTGCTCCAAGATTAAAAACTGCAGAATCTTTTTCCATGGAGACTGAAGGATAGGAGGAAAAACGAAAATGAATAAAGCTGGGTTTAAATCCCTGTTCTGCTACTTAATTTTCTGTGCAACCCTGGTCAAACCATTCAACCTTCAGGGCCTTAAATGTATAATAAGGGGAGTGATTGATCTTCAGGGTTCCTTCTTGCTGTGAAAGTTCATGATTCCATATATGACAAAGAAAAAGAAGAGTGTAGGCCTGGCATGGTGGCTCACGCCTGTAATCCCAGCACTTTGGGAGGCCGAGGCAGGTGGATTGTCTGAGGTGGAGTTCAAAACCAGCTGGCTCAACATGGTAAAACCCCATCACTACTAAAAATACAAAAACGTTAGCCAGGTTTGGTGGCAGATGCCTGTAATCCCAGCTATCTGGGAAGCTAAAGCAGGAGAATCACTTGAACCTGGGAGGTTGAGGTTGCAGTGAGCCAAGATCGCACCATTGCACTCCAGCCTGGGTGACAAAATGAACCTCTGTCTCAAAAAAAAAAAAAAAAAAAAAAAAAAATTAAATAAAAAGAAGAGTGGAAAACAAACCAGTTCAAGAGAAAAGTGAAAGAAATAATTGCCTCCTGCACTCTCATTGGGGTTTTATCTTAACCACCTTTTTTTCTTTCTGATGGTAAACAGTGTCTGTGGCCACTTAGTCAGCCTGCTTTCCTTTTCCACTTTCTCCATCTCTTTTTTTTTTTTTTTGAGATGGAGTTTCACTCTTGTTACCCAGGTTGGAGTGCAATGGCGCAATCTCAACTCACTGCAACCTCCACCTCCCAGGTTCAAGTGATTCTCCTGCCTCAGCCTCCTGAGTAGCTGGGACTACAGGGACCCACCATGCCCGGCTAACATTTGTATTTTTAGTAGGGACGGAGTTTCAATATATTTGCCAGGCTGGTCTCAAACTCCTGACCCTGTGATCCTCCCGCCTGGGCCTCCCAGAGTGCTGGGATTACAGTTGTGAGCCACCGTGTCTGGCCTAATTTTTGTATTTTTGAGGCAGGGTTTCGCCATGTTGGCCAGGCTGGTCTCGAACTCCTGACCTCAAGTGATCGACCCACCTTTGCCTCCCAAAATGCTGGGGTTACAGGTGTCAGACACCGCATCTGGCCACCATCTTCCTCTTTTCTCTTTGCTAATTCTGCTCTTATAGCCTTCTCTTCTAGTTTCCTTAGAAAACAGGTTAAGCACACAGTTATCTTCTACAATTTTCATGTCCTGGACTCCCTTCAGCTATTTTGGTCACTGTCTGCTTTTACAGGTGTTTTGGTTATTAAGAGGTTATGGCTATTCAAGGAGCTTGACAGTGCAAGTCTGCAGCATTAGGTAAGTAGTGAGATTCTACTTAAGTTTTTTTTTCTTTTTTTTGAGATGGAGTCTTGTCTCTGTCATCCAGGCTGGGGTACAGTGGCACGATCCTGGCTCACTGCAACCTCAGAGTTCCATGTTCAAGTGATTCCCCTGTCTCAGCCTCCGAAGTAGTTGGGACTACAGGCATGTGCCACCATGCCCAGCTAATTTTTGTATTTTTAGTAGAGACAGGGTTTCACCATGCTGACCAAGCTGGTCTTGAACTCCTGACCTCAGGTGATCTGCCCACCTCAGCCTCCCAAAGTGCTGAGATTACAGGCGTGAGCCACCATTTCTGGCTAAGTTGTGTTGGCCATTAATTACCAGCGGTTACAGGGTCAAAGGAATGAGACAGTCCATGTCTTCTGTAATGCTCAGGGCACACATCCCTCCACTCCCACACTGTGTTCCTTCTCACTCTAGTTGTATTTCAGTATATATAGGGAATATATATACCCACTACATAGGAAATCTTTTTAAAAAAAAAAAACACAAAAGATCTATGACCGATTTAGATGTCTCCTCTTTAAAAGCTATGTAGGAATATAAGGATAATAATTTTGAGCTAATATGAAGTGGAAAAAATATATGAATATCAGTGGCTTAAAACAACAGAATGGATTGAAAAAAATTTTAATAACCTGTTTTATTGCCACTGACTCAAAGGGAAGCTTCGTCAATACCCATAAAGGGGTACTGCCTGGCCTCTGAGGAAGCCAGATGGCATGAAGTAAGGCAGGCTTGCTGACTAGGTATTTCTTGCCCAAGCTGGCAGAGCTGGTTTTCCCTGCTTTCAGTGCCTTTCCTTTCTCACCCCTAAAGTTTCTCCACTCTTTGTCCTTAACATCTTTGCACATATCCTTCACATGCCTCCAAAGATCTCCACAAACCCAGTCCTGCCAAGGCCACATGCAATTCCGATCACCACATGCTGATCAGGAATGAAGGGTGCCTTGGCAGGACAGGCCATATACAATTTGACAAGGCCACAGGTTATAGGGAAGGCAGTACAGAGGTTAGAGACATGGAGTCCGCAGCTACCTTGCCTGGGTTCAAATCCTGGCTCTGTCGCTTACCAGCTGGGTGACCTCAGGTAAGTCCCTTAGTCACTCTGTGCCTCCATTTCTTGATCTGTAAAATGGAGAAATTTTATCTACCTCGCAGAGGATTTAAGGATTGAGTTAATAATATTTTGTAAAATGCCTATAATTGGGCCTGGCCAATTAGATATGAGTCAGTATATAGGGAATCTTTTTCTTAAAAAAAGTTATCTATTAACTATCTATGACTGACTTACATGTCTCTTGAAAAGCTGTGTAGAAATATGAGAGTCATAATTCTGAGCTAATATGGAGTGTAATAAGCCAGCCAGTGTTTAGTTTGTCCCTAGGTCCATGCAGCCCTGTTGTACAGATGGGAAAACATGCTCAAAAAGGCGAGGTAACTCTCCCAGCGTTCCATGTCTGGCTGTGTGAACGACCTGCTACAACCAGCATGAAACTTTGAGCAGGTCACCTTTGAGCAGGTTACTTCGCTTCTCTAAGCTTCTATAAAAGCAAGGAAGAAAAAGTCATTTTGTAACATGTACATGTGTGGTATAACTTAGTGATGATTGTGAGCCAGGGAATTTCCTTCTGTTATCCACCCTGGTGGTGACTGTTCGCCTCTGATCCACTGTTCAAAACCAATACTAATTCATTCATGTGTCTCACTTTTCCCGAGGAGCTAACAGGGACGCTGTGGGACATAAAAAGATGAAAAGTCCTAATTTCAGGTGTGACAAGTCAGAAAGGTGAGTAGGAGCCAGAGCTGGTGGCGTGAAGTGTTAATCTCAGGAGTTTAAACTTTGACAGGTGGGTGTGCTAGGTATTTTTGGTCGCACCTTCCTTCCCTAACTGATCCTGTGTGCCCTGCTTTTTGTTTCCAGAGTCAGAAGGTCATTCTTTAAAGGCCTGGGCTCCAGGTCCTCTGGCTCTTTTTTTTTTTTTTTTTTTGAGACCAAGTTTCCCTCTTGTTACCCAGGCTGGAGTGCAATGGCACGATCTCGGCTCACTGCAAACTCTGCCTCCTGGGTTCAGGCAATTCTCCTGCCTCAGCCTCCTGAGTAGCTGGGATTACAGGCACATGCCACCATGCCCAGCTAATTTTCTGTATTTTTAGTAGAGACGGGGTTTCACCATGTTGACCAGGATAGTCTCGATCTCTTGACCTCATGATCCACCTGCCTCGCCCTCCCAAAGTGCTGGGATTACAGGCTTGAGCCAACGCGCCTGGCCGGGCTTTTTTTTAAGATTTATATTTTATTTTTTTTTTTAAGATGGGGTTTCACCATGTTGGCCAGGCTGGTCTTGAACTCCTGACCTCAGGTGATCTGCCTGCCTCGGCCTCCCAAAGTGCTGAGATTACAGGCCTGAGCCACCGTGCCCAGCCCTCGTTTTTTGTTTTTTTTTTTTAAAGACAGGGTTTTACCATGTTGGTCACGCTGGTCGTGAACTCCTGACCTCAGGTGATCCGTCTGCCTCGGCCTCCCAAAGTGCTGAAATTACAGGTGTGAGCCACCACACCCAGCCTCTAGCTTTCATCTGAGTCCAGCCATGGGAAAGCACCAGGAAGAAGAGATCAGCAAGCAGGAAGAAAGGTCAAGGTGTTTATTCTCTGCCTTCTTTCCCTGCCAGGACGTGGTTCTGGCAGGAGCTGTGCTCCTTAACAAACGTCACAGCTCCTTTGGGGGACCCTTCTC